GTGTGTGTGTGTGTGTGTGTGTGTGTGTGTGGTATAAGATTTTCTGGAAGACAGTTTGATGCTCTGAAATCTGTTCGACATTGTTAAAGGTTTGTCCTCCTCCTCCTCCTCCTCCTCCTCCTCCTCTGAGGACGAAGGAATGAAGACATGAAGGAGAGGAGGTAAGGTGAGACAGGAGGAGCACAGAGATGGTTTCTCAGTGGTTCAGGTCCAGGATGGACCTGTGTGTAGTGGATGTGGACTCACCAGGCAGMCTTGTGGACACGTTGACCTGGGTGAAGAACCTCTTGCTGGGCAGCAGTTCTGACACTCCGTTCAGGGCCTCCACAGATAAGGTGTAGTTGGTGTTTGGGAGCAGGTTGACCACCGTCACYGTTCTGTCCGTCAGTCCCACCTGATGAGGAACGAAGCCCACGCTGGCCCCACACGGCTCACACCGCCCCCCAACGCAGCGCCGACAGCCCACGCTGTAGGTCAGGTCTGCCCGACCGCCGCTGTCAGAGGGAGGGGACCAGTCCAGGATCAGAGTGGACTGCTTCAGAGTGTAGACCAGGTCTCTGGGTGGGGAGGGGGGTCCTGGAGGACAACACAGGTTCAAAGACATGAATACATTCAGAAACCAAGACAGAGAATCAAACTTTTCTCTACATGACATTTATTTTTATCTTTACAACAGAACGGGTTGATGAGGCTGAGGTTTTCACTGGGAGGGACGAGGATGGACAAGATTAGACCTGAGCAGACCAGAGGACAGTGAAGGTGGAGCAGCTGGAGCTAGAGAGGCCAGGCTGAGAGGGTTTGGACCTGTGCTGAGGAAGGACAGGGGACATATTGGACAAAGGATGTTGGAGATGGAGCTGCCAGGCAGGAGGACAACAGGAAGAGTTTTCTTCTTTGAAACACAACAAGCAGCTGAACAGAGAGAACATGTGGACTTATTGTTCTGATTTCATTATGTTCTGAAAACAAACATTACTGGARGGAGATGCAGGACGGATTAATGTCTCCTCTCCGTGTGCATGGACAGATCTATTATGTTCCCATCTGCTGAGTGGACTCCTTCCTCCAGCGGGAAATAAAGCTGAGCAGCAAGAAAACAAGACATGAGGGCTGAAACCTTATTGTTCATCCAAACATCTGTCCTGGGAAACTCTTTCACATTTTTATTGTCAAATAAAAGAAAAGAAACTAGAAGATAATAAGATGAACCGTGTGAACGTTTGTTTTTAATATCAGCAAAACAAAATGGGAAAGTCATCTCAGTTTGTCTGCTCTCAGTGTTTCTGGGTTTTCACAGACCCAGCAGGTCTCAGGAGCAGGTCTCAGGAGCAGGTCTCAGGAGCAGGTCTCAGGTCTGCCATCAGATGAAACCATCAACTCAGTTCACTTCACTTCAGTTCAGAGGACCCCCCCCCCCCGACCGTGAGGGGCTCGTCAGTGAGGGGCTCGTCAGTGAGGGGCTCGTCAGTGAGGGGGCCCAACTGTGAGGGGGCTCAACAGTGAGGGGCTCGTCAGTGAGGGGCTCGTCAGTGAGGGGGCCCAACAGTGAGGGGGCCCAACTGTGAGGGGGCTCAACAGTGAGGGGGCTCAACAGTGAGGGGGCTCAACAGTGAGGGGTAGCATCACCTGCAGGAGGGGCCAAACAAGTCACGTGTATGATGTCATGGGTTAGCTGATGGTGGGGACCTTAGTGCTTTGACCCTGGATTATCCAAACCGGCTCTTGGGACTTGGACTGGCACCTCTCTGGTGGGGAGGAGCCTGAGCTGGTGTGACAGATTGACCTGGACACACAACYTGAACTCCAGAACCCATCTCCTTGAGAGGGACTGGACTATATTCCATTGTGGAGTTGCCCATAGTGGTTGTCTGTTCATGGGGGMGGATGGGGTCACTGCAGACCTGTGCATGTGAAGCTCAGCTCCATTAAACTCCAGGTATTATTAATATTGTTATTTAAAACAAACATTGTTTCAGTCATTTGATTTGAATCAGATTCATTGTGGCTGGAACAAATAAAATAATCATGTTAAAAAGCTTCTGTCAGCTCTTTTATGTTGAATCTAAAGTGGTCCTAAAGTCTGTCTTCAACCTCAAATCTATAAAATGTTGAGGATTTTCTTTAGAAAGCCRCAGTCTGCTGCTGCAGTCCTGTCAGCTGTAGGTTTCTAAATGGGAGCCTTTCTAAAGGTTTGCGTTAGTGATAAATCTTTAACAGTGTGCCGTAATGGAGCCCTTTTCAATAGTCACCATGAGGAACTGTAATTAGTCGAGTCAGGAAGTGTGAATCAGAACCAAGCTGTTTGACTCCCAGCTTCTGTTAAACACATTACAATCACTCTGGGATTATTCTTTCATTGCACAGATTAAAAGCTGCTGGTATCAAACTTCACTCATCTRACACGTCTCTCTCTTTTTCCTATAATTCATCAGATATGCTGCTCCTCCYTCTGCACGGTGGATTAGCCCAATCTGAGGATGATCACAATTACTGAATCAATAGTTTAATGAATGTGGTCACTGGGCTGCTCTAAATGTTATCAAACAGATCAGAGCTTTGTCATCAATACTCTAATTAAAGCTCCACACAGCAGAAAGACCAGGATGACCACAGGCCACAATAATCCCAGCATACACAAACCATTACTCCTGGGCTCCATCAGAACACCTGGTCAGGCTTTGTGCTGAGTCAGCAGAGAGAGGACAGGAAGTGCTGAAGAAGAAATGAAGGGGGTGAGGAGGAAGATGATGGTGGAGCAGGTCAGGTGAAGAAGTGAGAATGAAGAAGAGTAGTTGAAGGAGAAGACACAAAATGTTGAGATAATCAGTAAAACTGTCTGAGTTAAAAGATGAAAACATTTGTTTACGTGTGCATGGTGCCGAGGGATTATCCAGAGGAGTCCTAAAGTGGTCTTCRTCACACACACACACCACAGATCCTTCTTCCTCTGCAATACTGTTAGCTGGGCAGGGGAAACACTCCTGCTGCCTGGACGACATCTTGTAGGAGCCCACCGGACACGCTGCAGAAAACACACACAGGTTAGCACCAATAMACACTAAATACACAGGAAATGTAACCAAACGATACAGGAAGTATACTACAGTGGTACAGGAAGAATAGTACAGAAAGTATCCTGAGGCTGAACAGGAAGTATCCTGAAGCTGAACAGGAAGTATAGTGAAGCTGAACAGGAAGTATAGTGAAGCTGAACAGGAAGTATAGTGAA